GGGTACTTATTTCGATCTGTAGCGGATTCAAGGTTTTTTCTGCATTTTTAAATATTGGAATTCAAAGTTTGTTGGTATGATGTTTTATGACCAAGTTCATTTCAAGCTAACTTATTTTTGAACGAAATTTCTTTTTCAGTACCTTGGCTCGTATACCCTTTATGGCAAAGCTACGCCTTCTGATGAAATATAATGCAGATGGAGTCTTTTAATCAAACACTATTGAGGGCTTCGTTAATGGAAGAATGTGGTTGTCTCTTCGAACCAAAATTTTCAGCTTAAAGGAATACTTAATGTATCTTGGGGCAGTGTCCCGTTAGGCAACATGAAGAGTAAAAGCTATCTTTAAGATTTGTCTAAGGCTCGAAAAAAAACCAGTCTTCTTCGCAGACTCGAGCGAGGACGCCTCTCATCAGGCAGCTACGGTGGTGAATTGACTATGCATAAAAGAATAGAGCCTACACAACACACAATTTGACCTGACCTTATTTTGGGTATTTTGTAGCATATCCGGTACATCGGCGCCTTCCTCCAACCTCCCTCTTTCTCCTGTCAAGATTTTGTATGCACAAGCCATTGTGCTCACTTTACAAATGCACAGCAGTTGATAAGGCGACGAGAAGCACCGAAACGCGAATTCACGTCTGACTGCTTTGATTTACAAACGAAAAGTGGATTCATACTTTTGTCGATTCTCTTCGTCGCGATAAACCCCTATTCCAAACCGATAACGACTTCGTTCCGACATATTACCGGACGCCTGTTGGGGAAGATAGACTATTATGTTTACTCAGTTTGCTTAAACAAACTACTCGTCTCAATCGAATTGTCATCCTCAATGACACCGGACCCTAAACTATCTGGTCATTCGTGTATTTGCTCTTGTCAGGCTATTTTGGATCATACGGAGAAAAGTTGGCCTCACTTGCATTACGAGTGAAGGTGAGTGTGATTCGAAAGTAGACCCCAAAAGAAGACGACAGCCATCAGTTGGCTTTACTTGAACATTCGGTCTCTGAGGAATTACTCTTCGATTCTGGTAAAACTGTGTTCAGCTTTCGCTTCTCACAGGAGAGACATCATTTTTGCAACCAATTCAATATGTATAAGTTGTGTTCACACGATTTCGCTTAAGGTGATGAAGGACTTGTAGCTGATATTTCCCACAATCATATGAGTAGATCTTATGCTTTCCATTCAATTTCACATAGCCTTGTTTTCCCAAACAGGATTCTCATTAAGGGCGGAACTCGGTTTCGACCTCGCATAGGTCTTATCAACACCTCCAGAGGAAGTCGAACCATAACAATGCAGCACGTAAGCTGGACACGTTAACCCCTACGCTACATTGCCACGAGCGCCCTTGGGTCACAGGACATATGTGAATTTGAAGGAATATCAGGTATTTTCCATATCATATTCTGTGCTGGGATTGCCGATGAAGCAAACTTATATTTCCTATAGCAATCGACGACCTATTCACTCACGAAAAAAGTATAAATTAATGTAAATCTAAAAGCACCATAAAAACAAAGATATGGGGTATATATATTCTTCACTCATTAGCTTGAATATGGTTGTAATACGAGAGACGAAAGCTTAGCAAGTTGTCACCAGAATCGAGGAAGATGGTCTAGAAAACGGTGTCCATCAGAAATTTCCAATAAAGTCAAGGAACAGTTGGTCAAGTGGAATCCGCCGTCATCTTTGGTGAGACTCACGTTCTTATCTCTTCACTAAACACTTTCACTCGGAATGAAAGTGAGCTCAACAACCATAAACCAAGAGATTCTTCGAAGTTCAACTTTTCCAACCTACCAGTAGTCTCAAAAACCTGCTCATTTATGAAACAAGTTATTATTTCTTGACTTGTTGGCTTGAATGTTACCCTGATATTATGATGTCCTTCATATGATAAATGGCTGGCCAAATAAGATTTGTCTTAGTCTTCCGGTAGGATTGACCTTTGGGCCTATTTATCACGAACTTACACTTAAAAGGTAGTAAGCTTAATAGTTTGGATCGTAGATATGGAGAACAAGATGGTGGACCTCAGATACGGTCGCAATTACCTCCAGTGTCAGAGAGATCTTGTTGAGCATGTCTAGTCTTGCTTTCTTTGCCATAGCTGTCGTAATAACTTTCAGAATCGGTCCGTTGACTTGGTATATTTTCAGAAGTCCCACTGGCATCGTGATCCGCATCGCAACTAAGAAGCGCCATCCTTTGCACCGAGTCACAACTTATCACTTGCCACATGTCATTTTGGTCAATTGGGACCCTATACTAAATTATGTTGGCAATACGTATGGGAATACTGGAAATTATCATGAATTCTATAGCAGAGGAAGCCGGTCTGGGTACCCTTTACAAGATTTCCTAATGTTTTCGCAAAGTTGTGAAGGCGAGGTTGGAAAAGTTGAACTTCGAATAATCTCTTGGTTTATGGTTGTTGAGCTTACTTCCATTTCGAGTGAAAGTGTTCAGTGAAGAGATAGGAACGTGGGTCTCACCAAAGATGACGGCAGATTCCACTTGCCCAACAGTCAATTTCTGATGGACACCGTTTTCTAGACAATCTTCCTCGATTCTGGTGAAAACTTGCTAAGCTTTCGTCTCTCGTATTACAAACATATTCAAGCTAACGAGTCAAGAATATATATAGCCCATATCTTTGTTTTTATGGTGCTCCTAGATTGACATTAATTTATACATTTTTCGTGAGTGAGTAGATCATCGATCGCTATAACAAATAAAAGTTTGCTTTATCGGCAATTCTAACACAGAACATGATATGGGAAATGCCTGATATTCCTTGAAATTCCCATCTGTCCTGTGACCCAAGGGCGCTCGTGGCAACGTGGCGTAGTGATTAACGTGTCGAGCTTACACGCTGCATTGTCATGGTTCGACTTCCGCTGGAGATGTTGATAAGACCTATGCAAGGTCGAAACTGACTTCCACCTGGATGAGAACCCAGTTTGGGAAGACAAGACTATGTGAAATTGAATGGAAAGCATAAGTTCTACTCATATGATTGTGGGAAAAATAAACATCCAGTCTTTCATCACTTTAAAATGAAATCGGGTCAAAATAACTCATTAATTTATACTAACCGAATCATTTTATACCCTACTAAAAGGATGGATATAAGGAGCAGCCAATGAGCTTTCTTGGCTCGTTACAAGAATTGTGTCCTGCTCTGATGATGTACACCATTTGGTGAACGAAAGGTTAGCACTATTTTGCTGCAAATGAAGGTGACTGTGTCAGCAAGAATGTTCCAGTAAAGCCAATCGGCTCCTGCCAGAAGGTACCCGCCGTATTTTTATGATGGGACCTATCTTCGAATCTATCTGTCATAAACTTTCACTAAAAAAGTGAAGTCAGTTCAAAGAACCAACAATATTTTTGACTTCGTTGTTGAGATCCCTACACCTGCATTTATTAAATTTTGTGATCACATAAAATGCCTTTTGTGGCTAAAGTCTCAGTGTCTACTTAGGACATAACTGATTACCTTTGACATGATGTCTTCGTTGACCTCTCGCTCCGGCTCCGCCCAATCCACAGCAATTTGTTGTCCCCATAATTGGATGTGGCCGGGCAGGAGTTTTCGGCGCGCCATCGCGGCTGCTCTATGGCTGTCATACTCCACAAAGGCAAAGCCTCTATTTTTTGTCTTGTCGTTGACGCTCGGATAGGAGATGACATCTCGAACGCCGTCAGTAACACGTCGCATTTCGGAGAGAATCTCATCTCGAGTCTTGTTCTTCGGAATACCACCGACGAAGAGACGACAGTTGTCAACGCTCAGGCAAACACCGATGGTTTTTCCTTTTCTGATTTCATAGTTGTTGAGCTCCGAGACAGCGCGTTTAGTATCCTCACGGCTGGTGTACACGCAGAAACCGAAGCCCCGATTAGCTCCGTTGAAATCCATCATGAGACGAAACATGTAGATTGGCCCAATCCTCTCGAAGACGGGGATCAACTCGTCCTCGTAGCAGTCACGGGGGATCTTGCCGACAAACACCTCGCAGCCCCTCTGCGGGGCGGCCAGCGTCCAGCCGGGGGGGGGACCATAGCAACGCTGACCGTTTTGCTGTACTATCTGATAGTTGGTGCGCTCCACCAGTTTGTGAATCGCCTCGACGGGTGGCAAAGCGGCTGCATTCTGATTGTCCTGTTTGCCCACAAACCCCGCGCCTGACGCTGCCAGGTAGATGGTACCGGTGCTGTCTCCGGCACCGGTGATGGACGAGCTACCGGTCGGCAAGCAACAGTCGCCGTCCACTTCCAGCGGTTGGCTGGAGCCTGAGTTCGACGAACTGGAGGAGTGTGCTTTGGGTAGGCCACATGCAGTCGTCACGGTGGTGACCGCGCTCGTGGACGCACTCGGCATGGACAACGACATGTTCATGCCCGGGGCGCTGATCTTTAATGACTTCACTTCGCCAGAAAGCTGATTTACATCGCAACAAGGCATGGTGACAGTGGGACTGTGTGCTGCCTGTCGGTTGGGCCCACTTGATTGGTTGACCGGCTGACTGGCTGATCGGCTGGCTGGCTGGCTGGCTGATCGGCTGGCTGGCTGGCTGGCTGACCGAGCAACTTGTATACACATA